TATTTTGGGAGAAAGAAAGGTTTAAACAGCAAGCGTATTTTGGGAGAAAGAAAGGTTTAAACAGCAAGCGTATTTTGGGAGAAAGAAAGGTTTAAACAGCAAGCGTATTTCTGGAGAAAGAAAGGTTTAAACAGCAAGCGTGTTTCTGGAAAAAGAAAGGTTTTAAACAGCAAGCGTATTTCTGGAAAAATAAAGGTTTAAACAGCAAGCGTATTTCTGGAGAAAGAAAGGTTTAAACAGCAAGCGTATTTCGGGAGAAAGAACTGTTTAAACAGCAAGCGTATTTCTGGAGAACCTAAAAATCTAAGTTAAGAAGTTACTGTTAAAACCATCTCATGTGTCACACCATAAGACATACATTTCATATGTCTTGCAAGCCAGTCGAATGGTGTTAGATTGTTAACTCTATAATATTTATCTCAAAATTTATTTAAGCAATACCGCTTAATTATGCTATCTATACCAAAAGTTGGGCACAAAATAATAGCAGATCTAGCCTGATTAACATTTTAATAGATCAGAGGAGCATTTATAAGAAAAAAACGGGTTTATTATTTATCTACTGTGAAAAGAGAAAGAGTTACAATAATAATAAAAAAACTATCATAGCTGTATACTCTGGAGAAATTTGTTAATAAGTGCAATGAAAAATAATGTCAATACGAAGGTTCTTGTTGGGGGGGAGGGGGTGCTAGACTGTGTGACCATCAAACAAGACCGGCAAGTTGTGGGTTTCTTCTTAGTTGTACAAGGAGTAACTTAAGTACAGGGTGAGCAAACAGTGGGCAGTAAAACACTACCGTTCAAAACAAAAGCAAGAAACGTCGCCTTACACCTAATACTCCCACAAGGTGGCGCTGTTTGGGTCGGTTCCATTCACTTTGAAAGCGCCGTTCTTGTCTGCGACTAAATAGCACCCGTCAGTGGTCTTCAGACAAAGTTTGCAAGGTTCTCTAAGCTCGATATAAAATCCTTGTGGCTTGTCAGATTCTACGGCGATTGAGCCGTCTTCCGACACTGTCCAATACTTATGGTTGGCGGCACCTAGTGACAAGAAATGTAATTATATTATTACTTAATACAAGAAATGTCTCAAATTCCTGAAATACTTAGTTATTATTAGTTCTTAAGGCTAAATGGCTTCTATAATGCTCACTGAAGTTGTATATTAACGCATACAATTAGCTTAATATCGTTCCCGATGCAAATAAAATATACAAAAACAAAACAATAAATTGTAATTGTGAATGGAAGTAACATATTGGAATGATAAATTGTTTTTTTAATTATGCACAAAGCTACACAGTGGGCTATCTGTGCGCTGCCAATCACGGGTATCGAAACCCGATTTTTAGTATAACAAGCTTGCAGACTTACAGCTGAGCCACTGGGAAGCGTTTATTTTTCGTTTGTTTGTTTTAGAGTACATTGGTCTATCTGCCGTGTCCACGACGGGAAATCGAACCCCAGATTTTAGTGTTGCGAGTCTATAAACTTACCGCTGTCCCGCCGGGGTCGGTGGGCGTTTTGAATAAGATTGATTAGCTACGAAACAATGTAATTTCGTTCTTAAAGTAATTTTATAAAGTTTAAAATATTACACTTTGTTAGTTGTTGTTGATGTATAAAAACAAACATGAACTGGTTCGTTCTGCCCTATCTATATAAATAAACAAACATGAACTGGTTCGCTCTGCCTTATCTAGATAAATAAACATGAACTGGTTCGTTCTGCCCTATCTATATAAATAAACAAACATGAACTGGTTCGCTCTGCCCTATCTATATAAATAAACAAACATGAACTGGTTCGCTCTGCCCTATCTATATAAATAAACATGAACTGGTTCGCTCTGCCCTATCTATATAAATAAACAAACATGAACTGGTTCGCTCTGCCCTATCTATATAAATAAACAAACATGAACTGGTTCGCTCTGCCCTATCTATATAAATAAACAAACATGAACTGGTTCGCTCTGCCCTATCTATATAAATTTCCACTAAAACTAGAACCAGAAAATGGTGATACGAAGTTATTCCTAACTAAGACGGAAACCGGAAATGTATACGTAATCCTCGTTAAATGTTACAGTAAAACCATAGCAACGTAGACCAACTATCTCCAAACGGAACAATGATACAATACTTATAAAAGGACACAGAAAAGTAACTAACACATGGGCTGGTATACTAGTGGAAATACTTTAAAATAAACTACTATTCGTTTTTTGCTCTTAAATGCGTGGTGCAACGTTAATCTCGAAACACAATTTAAAAAAAGTCAGACTAACTTATCCAAATCTAAAACTATATTCATACATAAATTGTTTAATACATTAACCCTTTCTTTAAATGTGAGTGGGTTGAGTAGGGTTAACGTGTGACGTCCATTTTGGCACGTATCCAAGTCATAACGTGTGGTAAGAAATTGCATGAAACATCATATGACAACATAATGGCTGGAGACGGCTTGAATGGGTAATGAAGAAAAAACTTTAATATAAGTTTAACATATCAGCAAATGTACAACGTTTTGTCACCATACTTCTGAAATGTCATGATCCCAAAATAAACGTTTTATACATTTCTATAATTTCCCTTGTTCGTGATTGGTTTTTAAAAATATAACAAGCAAACTATAATCATTCTTCACCATATAGTCTACTCAAATATAATTGGTAGACACGTGGAGAACAGTCCATATCTCAACTACAAACATTCAACTCCATAGCTGGAAGACACGTGGAGAACAGTCCATATGTCAACTACAAACATTCATTCACTCCATAGTTGATAGACACGTGGAGAACAATCCATATGTCAACTACAAACATTCATTCACTCCATAGCTGGAAGACACGTGGAGAACAGTCCATATGTCAACTACAAACATTCATTCACTCCATAGTTGATAGACACGTGGAGAACAGTCCATATGTCAACTACAAACATTCATTCACTCCATAGTTGATAGACACGTGGAGAACAGTCCGTATCTCAACTACAAACATTCATTCACTCCATAGCTGGTAGACACGTGGAGAACAGTCCATATCTCAACTACAAACATTCATTCACTCCATAGCTGGTAGACACGTGGAGAACAGTCCATATCTCAACTACAAACATTCATTCACTCCATAGCTGGTAGACACGTGGAGAACAGTCCATATCTCAACT